CATTTTCATTTATTGGCTTATCATTGTTCACCTGTCCACAAAATGAATAATAAATGAAATAACCTGCATTGTATTTAGTAAATGATAAATCTTTACTTAAATTATCCGGCTTTAAATTTTTAGCTTGCTATGACAGTGGTTCCCAAACCCTTTTTATCGATTATCTGCGCCCATGCTGAAGCAACGTTTTCCCAAGGCGCCCTACTTCGACATAACTTATTGTTGCAGGATAACTCAATCAGGTCCTCTTCTTTTTGCAGAATTAATTGAGATTGAGCTCTCGAATAAAATCGATCATTGATCCAAGCACATTTTTTGAGATTATCATTTGGAAATTGACGAACTTAATTATTATAAAGCTCAAATTTATTGATATCATCTTTTGAAAATTGTTTTACTTATTAATTATTATAGACCTCAAATGTATTTTTATTATCGTTTAAAAATTGATGAACCTCTTCTTCTTCTACTTCTATATCTTAAGGGCCCACGAGCAATTTATTGATCATTTTGGCTCCTATGCATGTAGAAGGGATTTGCAATGTTTCTGTGCCTGGTGCTGATGAGGATATTTCAATGATTACAAGTGCTACTTTGTGAAGGAATCATGCAATGGGGGTTGGAAGGCTTGAAGCAATAGACGCAAATGTGTCTAGTGTTGTCGCCTCAGCTGTTTCTTTTGAAAGCTTGTTCCAGTCCCTGATTGTCTTAATTATTATAGCGCTCAAAGTTATTGATGTTATCGTTTGAAACATTGATAAAATCAATGATTGTTCATCTCAAATTTATTGATGCTATCGTTTGAAACATTGATAAAATCAATGATTGTTCATCTCAAATTTATTGATGCTATCGTTTGAAACATTGATAAAATCAATGATTGTTTATCTCAAATTTATTGATGTTATCGTTTGAAACATGGATAAAATCAATGATTGTTTATCTCAAATTTATTGATGTTATCATATGGTCAAGGATAAACGAATTATCCCAAAGCGCCAACTTGTAGAGGTTTCTGGAAAAAAAAAATTATGTTTAAGTAATTCATGCATGGTTGCACCTCATCAGTTAAATTTCTCATCCGATCTCATGGAAATAAAACATGCCAATTGTATAATACTTCGCGGGGCGCCTGCGAGTAAACCGCGGTGGACTCTATTGGAACCGCTGCGTTATGACAAGATTGTTAAAATCGGGTTTTAACATTTCTCTTTAAAAACAAGATGAACATTGTTATTATTTTTGAGTTCTTAATTTCCTCATATTCTCAGTTGTTTTAAAAGGGTTCAGTCACTATTATGTTCCCGTAATTTGTTCATATACGTGCAAGCGATCAAGTGATTGGCATTAAGGAAGTTCACTGTGGCAATTTACTGTTTTCGTTGGAAATGCCGTGTTGTTGAGCTAGCTGTTAAAATACACTGGCCAGAAACAGGTGACGCGTTTTCGGTGGCTTCTAATTATGATGCGATATAAGCACTGAGGTCAACAATGACATTAATCACGATCGTGCATTGTTACTATAAAATATGCATTTTGGTAAATTATATCGTTAATTTTGAAGTGAGCACTAACCACACAAAAAAATGGTGTTGTAACTTTCGTCTTGTAAGCGACAGCAGCGACACAACTGGGTTGAACATCCCGGCATTGTTCCAATTGATGCGTTTATAAATAAATAACTCTCTATTTTTTGGGCAAATGTGACGATGGAGAGGACGAATCCCACATGGCCTGGGATTATTCTTCAAGGATTATAAGCTGGTTCCCAACAGTAAAATCGCCTCTCACAACGCTGCTGGATAACCCAAGGGAACATCATCGGATGGTACAGCTTGGCACCAGTGACGTCGCAGGAGTTGTCGGAATGTTTCATTGTATCAATGTTATCCCCCTTTCGGTACTCCATCTCCGGGTTTTATTTCAGAGTTGCCTTCTCTTGGATGAGTTGCCGTCCAAGGTTAACGGGTCCCATCCACCCGGGGTGCTGGTGATGTTTTTTGCTCTGGCTGGCATTGAACTCCAGACCACCAACTTGAGATTTGCTCAGTTTAGGCCACCCAGCCACCCTCTCTAATAAAATCAGATATATATACCATTTAAATTTGATTCCCGAAAAAAAACGAATAAAAATAGTTTATAGACAATCATAGTACCCATAAGAAATTAGTAAGTTGTCACCAGTCTAGTGCAGGCCTGCACAACTCAAAATGCAAGGCGGGCCGTAATACTGTACGAAAAATTTGTGCGAACCGAAAGAAAATACGACAGGGGGGAATACTATTAAGAAAATAATAATAATAAAGAATATTTCATTTCTTTACTTCATGCGGCCCGCGGGGGGGGGGGGGGGGGGGGGGGGTGTGTTGTGCAGGCCTGGTCTTGTGCATCAGCGTTTTCAATGACTAGTCGTGTCGCTTAATTACACAACTTATCTCCCCACTTTAAAAAGAAAACAATATCACCTTTTGCAATGGATAAGTCCCATTTCATATTTGAAAGGCTGAAAAAAAATAAAAAAAATTGACAAATCTTCGCTTTCACGACAGCTCAAACCATACTACTGATACGTTTGTGCTCAAACAGACCCGTGTCTGGACACGGTTGTTTGCCCTTGAAAGAGCGACTTTGCCACCACGGCACCAGCATAACCCCGGTGTAACAGAACGGCCTGCAATGGGTTAATGAGTGTAATGTAAGGTTGGATGACATAGGACTCAGCTGTACCCGTGGTCTCGGCCGACTGTCAATTCACTGACGTTATTAAATGTTGGGTGTGTGTTTGCATTCGTCATGTTTCTCCTTTACGACCCAAGACACACGCTGTGTCATATATATATAATTTATACATATATATACACACACACAAGGCGGCCACACCTTTGATATGTGTGGTGTCTTGCATCATGGTGTTTTGCACTGTCATTATATTTCTCACTTTTATATGTGACTTTAAATGCACAGCTGACAATAGATACGCAGCTGACTTAGATCCACAGATGGATAGATCCAAAACTGACGTTAAATTCACAACTGACTTTAAAGCCACAACTGACTTTAGATTCACAATTGACGTTAGATCCACAACTGACTTTAGATCCACAACTGACTTATGTTTTACAACTGACTTTAGATCCACAACTGACTTTAGATCCACAACTGACTTTAGATTCACAACTGACTTTAGATTCACACGTGACTTTACTTTAGATCCGCTGCTGACTTTAGATCCACAACTTACTTGGCTATAGATCTGTAGCTGAAATTAGATCCTCAGCTAACTTTCTATGTGTTAAATTTGTCACCCACGTCATTTTGACAATGTGCGTCATATTAGTCGGGTGCACCATATTAGTTGGGTGCTCCATATTAGTCGGGTGCGTCATATTAGTCGGGTGCGTCATATTAGTCGGGTGCGTCATATTGGTCGGGTGCACCATATTAGTCGGGTGCGTCATATTAGTCGGGTGCGTCATATTAGTCGGGTGCGTCATATTAGTCGGGTGCGTCATATTAGTCGGGTGCGTCATATTAGTCGGGTGCGTCATATTAGTCGGGTGCGTCATATTAGTCGGGTGCGTCATATTAGTCGGGTGCGTCATATTAGTCGGGTGCGTCATATTAGTCGGGTGCGTCATATTAGTCGGGTGCGTCATATTAGTCGGGTGCGTCATATTAGTCGGGTGCGTCATATTAGTCGGGTGCGTCATATTAGTCGGGTGCGTCATATTAGTCGGGTGCGTCATATTAGTCGGGTGCGTCATATTAGTCGGGTGCGTCATATTAGTCGGGTGCGTCATATTAGTCGGGTGCGTCATATTAGTCGGGTGCGTCATATTAGTCGGGTGCGTCATATTAGTCGGGTGCGTCATATTAGTCGGGTGCGTCATATTAGTCGGGTGCGTCATATTAGTCGGGTGCGTCATATTAGTCGGGTGCGTCATATTAGTCGGGTGCGTCATATTAGTCGGGTGCGTCATATTAGTCGGGTGCGTCATATTAGTCGGGTGCGTCATATTAGTCGGGTGCGTCATATTAGTCGGGTGCGTCATATTAGTCGGGTGCGTCATATTAGTCGGGTGCGTCATATTAGTCGGGTGCGCCATATTAGTCCGGTGCTCCATATTATTTGGCTTGCTCCATATTAGTCCGGTGCTCCATATTATTTGGGTTGCTCAATATTAGTCGGGTGCGCCATATTAGTCGGGTTGCGCCATATTAGTCGGGTGCGCGATATTAGTTGAGTTGCGCCATATTAGTCGGGTTGCGCCATATTAGTCGGGTGCGCCATATTTTTTGGGTTGCGCCATATTAGTCGGGTGCGTCATATTAGTCCGGTGCTCCATATTATTTGGGTTGCTCCATATTAGTCCGGTGCTCCATATTATTTGGGTTGCTCAATATTAGTCGGGTTGCGCCATATTAGTCGGGTTGCGCCATATTAGTCGTGTGCGCCATATTAGTTGAGTTGCGCCATATTAGTCAGGTTGCGCCATATTAGTCGGGTGCGCCATATTATTTGGGTTGTGCCATATTAGTCGGGTGCGCCATATTAGTCGGGTGCGCCATATTAGTTGGGTTGTGCCATATTAGTCGGGTGTGCCATATTATTCGGGTGTGTCATATTAGTCCGGTGCTCCATATTATTTGGGTTGCTCCATATTAGTCGGGTGCGCCATATTAGTCGGGTGCGTCATATTAGTCGTTTGCGTCATATTAGTCGGGTGCGTCATATTAGTCGGGTGCGCCATATTAGTCGGGTGCGTCATATTAGTCGGGTGGGAATGCCCACCAACAACCCACATCAGCAAGATCCCTAATGTCCACCAAAAAGCCCCAAATCAAAATGTCCACCAACAAGCCCCCCATCACCAACTACCCAAATGTCCACCACAAGCCCCATCACCAAGTATCCCAAAGTCCACCAACAAGCCCCCATTCTCCTAATGCAGACCAACAAGCCCCCATTCTCCTAATGCCCACCTACCGTCATTCATATCGGGTTCTATGATGATCTGGATGCTGCTTATTTTTCCCAGCTTCCCGCCCACCGGGTCAGAGAGTAGCACGGTGAACGTCTCCTCGTCTTCAAACAGGCTGTCATCCAGGATGACCACACGGCAGTAGCTCTCCTGTTTACCCCTGTCGAACTTTATGACGCTGGTGTGGTCAAGGGGTCTGGGGACGTAGTCCGACGACGTCATTGACGTCGGAAATGTGCCTGATGCTGACCCTGGTAGTTACAAAAACGTATCAGAACATCGTCGAGTTAGTAGATTCCTATAGGAAGTGCATTTTAATGACCGGAAGTTGGACATGATTTAAGAGTTTTTTTTTTTT